CTCCGACACAAGCAGCACCGCCTGCCCCGCCACGACGGGCTCCGCGTCCAAACACCGCGCCGTCACGAGCAGGGCTCCACCGCGATCACTGCTATGGCCGCTTGTCCTGTTGTCGTCGCCATGATGATGCTGCTGCATGCCTCCCACGGGGGTCCCGCCCTGGAGTCGAACGATCATTGTGTCCATAAACTTTCTCGACTCCGCAACACCCACGAGCAGGCCGTATTCAACACGTGCTAACACGGTCTCCGCGGTGGCACAAAGTTGCACCTCCCCAGTGTGTTCACTCTGTCGTGCGGAGTCTGCGTGAATCAAAATAGACTCCACATGAACCACATAAAAATATGTCTTCTCCGCAGCGTCCTGATCCAAAGACGACGGTGTTGCGTGTGGACGATGCAGCACACTGCGCAACACGAGATCATTCACCGCCTCACGGTTTCGCAGCTGCTGCAGGGGAACTCGGATGGACACATCAACTGACAGCGGCTGAGGCGCGTACACATAGCCACGACAGAGGCAAAGAAATGGTGGTATTGGCGGCGGCAGCGCAGGCCGCGTCTCGACACGTTTCTTCCCACCCTTCGATGGGCCGGATCGCTTTGCTCGACTACCCATTCCCCCCGCCCTCTACCGCAGGCACCACCACACCCCTGAAGCCAAACCGCGTCAAAAAAAAAAAAAAAAGATAAATAAAATAACATAAACGGATAATAATTGGGGCTCCCTCAAATTTTATTGACGTTTTTTTTTTTTTTTTTTTTTGTGTGTGTGCGTGTGAGGGAGAGTTTACTTTCACTCCTCGCTTTCTCTTTCACACCCGCAAAAGACGTGTCGCGCACACCAACGCAAAATCACGTATTTCTCCGCATGGCAAGGGCACCAATAGAAGTAATATGGAGCAACTGTGCAGAGTCGCACAAAAAACAAAGGGGGTAGCAATAATTCAACACATCCAACATATTCAAAGAACAACGAAAAAAAAAAAAAAAAATTGCCCCATGAGCACGAAACGCTGCCTAAACGTATCTGCTTCTTGTCAGTGTTTTTTTTTTTTTTTTTTTTTGGTTTAGGGTGGAGGCAATTGTCTGATTGATTTCCGTCGTCGTTTCCTCAGTCCATGTTGCCTTTCCTTTTTTTTGTTCTGTTTTCTACCCGGAAACCACACATGGCCCTTTATATATATAAAGATGTACGTATGTTTGTATTCCACAGTGAACAAGAGAGAGTGAGAAAAAAGAGAGAGGAAAAAAAACAAAAAAACAGAAGTTACCGGTCATTTCTGCTTCTCTTCGCCCTGCGCAGCTCCAGCAAACCCTGCGGTGTGGCCTGCCAGGAGCACAATTCGCGACTGTAGTAGTCCCGCGTCAGTGGGTCCCAAAACATGTCCAAATCAAAACTGTAAAAGAGGTCGCTCTTGTCATCGTACACCCAGTCATTGGCGCCATCGATGGTAATCTCAAGCTCCTCAGCGGTGAGGTACAACGGCTCCTCCGGCTCGCCAAGTATTGGACGCAGAAAACGAGTCATATGTCTGCTCCTCTCACCGTGGCTCGTCTGCGCGCGTTCTCTTCGACGGCGCTCCTGTTCCCTCCGCTCATCATACTTTTGGGCGGTCTGGGCACGAATGGAGTGCGGATATGAACACAGGAAGATAGCAGTGATGCAGGCAACGAAATTAAAGCATATAGACGCAATGTAGACATCAAACCCCCAGTCATATCTAACGCGACACTGTGGTGAGGGACTGTGCAACGCCTCACACGCTCGTCGTTCACAACGTGTGTAAAAGTGAAATAACACACAGTTCACTATACCACATGGTAAGGCTAAAAGAAGCAAACACAACACGACCAATGAGCTGTGCGAGCGAGTTGGGCGGCTTGCTATCCGCAATGTCACAATAATACCCAAAAGAATACAAAAAAACTGTACAATAGCAAGGCTCCACATGGCACTAATGTACGCACGCACAAAGGATTCAGATGACTCACATATAATCGCTTTCGTCAGACTATCACGCAGCTGACGTGGATACCTCGAGCTACCGCGTTGCATGCAGAACCCTACAACCCCTTCATAGCAGGAGAAAATCAGCCCCATAGACCGATACTGAAGATGATTCAATGTCACAATCCACTCTGTCGAGCACATACCAATCGCCATGCAAAAAACCGAAGGAGCAAGTAGGCAAAGAAGGAATGTCACAAAACGATTGAATGCGTTAATGCTATTATATTTCGTTTCCTTGTACAGTGCAATCTTCTCAACTGCCGTGCGGTCGCGCCTCAGTTCACCGTCAAGGTGCAACTTCATGTTCCCAAGTCGGTTTGGAATGTACACCTCTGATGGAACGGGAGAAACCGAATCAACACGCGTGATGTGCGTATTTGTGGTGAGGTTGGCGGCGACAATAGACCCCGCTTCCGATGCGGGCTCATGGCGCACCTCACCGCCGTCCCTTGGCATCCTTCGATGAAGCTATGACACTGTAAATAATGAAAGAAAAAGAAAAATAGAAAACAACATGCATCGCCATGTGCTCGCAACACGCACACACACACACACCAATACATAGAAAGAGTTTTTGTGTGTGAAAGAGAGAAAAAATCCAAGACACACGCATCACATCACTCGCATGAAGATTAAACAAAAAAAGGGGGGGAGAAGGATAAGGGGAGGAGAAACGTGTCAAGTTGATCGCCCCCTCACTACTCCCCAAGGCAAATCCCAAAGAAGTGAATGGCCAAAAAGCTGAATGCCTCGCTGACGACCGAGCGTGGGACAAATCCCGTCGTAGCGGGTTCCAGTGTCCCCAATTCTGTGTGATGAGGCGTGTTAGAAGTGTTTTTGTCTGTGCAGAGAAGTTGCAACACCAACGCGCCACTGCCGCGGTCATCCAGCAGGTACAAAAGAATCTGTGTGGCCTCCGCCCGCTCCTCGGGACTCATTTTGTGCGCCACTGTTGCCATCCCCGATTGCGCGACCTCTGTTGCCCACGACGACAGGCAGCAGAGTGCCTCGTGAAGGAGATAAAATAAATGCCTGGCGGCGGCGCAAAGTGCTTTGAGTGTGAGAAACCCGTCGTGGGCAGGAACTCCAGTGGCATAATCACAAGATTCGGTAAGCCAACGCGCCGTGTCAACAACACCACGAAAGGCCCGAAGTAATGGGAGAAGAAGGGCGACAAGAGCCGATGTGGCCTCCTCTGCCATAATCCCTCCTCCTTTTCCCCCTCCCGTTGTTCCCAGGCGTTCATGAATCCATCCCGGTGAGAGTTGCAGGAGATACTCCGGCACAACATGGCGAAAGTCCACAGCATTAACGCAACTGTGCACGTCATTTGCCGAGGGAATGAGCACGGCGGCAGAAGGATATCCTGTACCGTCTCCACCCGGACGCAATGGCAGAGTCCAACCCTCATCGGCCTGCAGGGATGAAGGACACCATGGCGTCAACGCCCTCGATGAAAAGTCTCGAATCATGGCATGTGAAGCGTCTTTGGAACATGGACACGGTCTCCTCATTGTCGTTAAAGTCATGTCATCTGAGCTCATCCCTTCTGTATCGGCAAAACAAAAAGATGAAGAATGCGTTTCTCTTCTGTTTTTGGCATCTCCAGTCACCGCAGTTAACAGGCTCCGCTCATGTGGGAAGAAACGAGCCCGCAGAGTCTCCGCCTCCTCCGTGAGAGCCCTCACGTTGGACTCATGTATCTTAAACCATTCCCGCTGGCGAGATACACTTGCGTAGATGCGGTAGAGTTGTATCTTCAGCTGCGCCGTCAGCGAATCCTCGCGCGTCCACGGGTGAGACGGCTGCGTCTTCTCCTCGTCCATGCCCTCCCGCCGCTCCGCCGTGCAACGATGAGCAGGACGCATCCGCACGTCTGGAAAAAGTGAAGAGTAAAGAGAAGAAAAGGGGAAACATGAGATGGCCAACCGTCCACAGACAGAGGGGGGAAAAGAAAAGGAAAAGCAACGACATGAGAAAGAAGTGTTGTCCGGGCAGAAAAAAAAAAGGAAAAAAAAAAACTTTTTCATATCGAGAAGAAAAAACACCAAATGCCTTTCATGCCTATTTCCCGCCGGGATGAAACATCACACGTCGTGGAAGGGCCCGTCCACCCCGCACCGCCTCCTCTCTGACCCCTTCCCTCACACACACAGAGCCACGGAGGCGTGGTACCATCATCATCATCATTTACCACCCACACTGCATGTAGGGATGGCACGCCAACAAAGAAAAAAACAGGAAGATACAAATAGACAAAAAGCCGCAAATAAAACAAAGAAAGAAAAGAGCAAAGTGAGAGTAAAGGGGGATGAGAACAAAAGGAGAGCGTGTGCCATATATGCAGGGGCAAGCTAACAAACATTTCACCACACATAAGCATTTACTTCCTCTTTAAAGACGTAGCGATGATGTGTCAATAAATAGAAATTTATCAGGGGTGGGGGAGGCGGAGACCACTGCACATTCCAATCAACATCCCCCATTCTTGCTATTCATCCCGCCCCCCTCCCCACATGCATCAAAAACCCTGGTGTTTTCCTCCTTTTCGGCTCCCCTTTTCATCTCCCCCTTATTCAATCTGACCGCCTGATAAAATCTTGTATGTTCTTTTTATTCTTACATCTTCTTCTTCCTTTTTTTTTTTTTTTGTTTTTCTTCCTCTTCTTCTTGTCCTTTCCGGTTGAAGCGACACATCACCGTCCCTCCTTCCTTGGGACCGGCACATGCGGGTACTTCGCCTTCCATATTCCCTCGTTCACCTGCGAGTAGTCCCAATTCTTGGCGCATTCCTTCGCCCACCACACGCGGCGCATCATGGATGTCTCCCTGTTGCTTGCGACATTCGGGTAAAACGCCGACGAGAGAGCGGAGCCAACGCAGAACCCCAAAACAGTAAAGCCACTGAAGGTACTGAACAGGACAAACCCCGTGTTGCAGCGTGAGACGACGTAGTAACTTCCAAGCACCGTCGAGAAAGTGGCGGTTGCCACTGCGAATGTTAACTGCTTGCGTCGCACCTGCCACTGTCTGCCCCACACACCACCTTCCCTCTCAAATCGCAGTAAGTCGCTTGGATACATCATTGGAAGATCCGAAACGAGAATCGTCCCTCCTTTGCCCGTCATTCTTCCTCCCTTCGGTTGCCTCCGTGTGCCGTAAGAAGATGGTACAAAATAATGATAATAATAATGACAATAATAACAATACAAGTAATAACACGCGCTATCTAATTATTACTATTTTTTTTTCCTTTTTGTTTTCAAAAGTCCGCGCGGAAAAACAATGAATGCACCTTCTATTAAACCCAGCCGCCACGTCCTTTCCTCTCCCTCTCTCTCTTTGTGTGTGTGTGTGTGTGTATTTTATGCGTGTGAAAATAAACACGCAACAGACAATTTTTAAGGGGTTTTATTAAACGCCAAAAGAGGGAAAAAAAAGAAAAAAAAAAAAAAGAAACACACATGACACGCCAAAGGCAGTGGAAAATAACCCCCCACACTCACACACACTCACAGAGAGAAAGAGAGGGAAAGAAAGAGAGAAAATGAGGCACACATGTAAATGTAAACACGTAAGCACACCCACACTCACACATGTATGCCGCTATAATACGTCTTGGCAATTTATTGCGGCTCCACAAAAAAAAAAAAAAAACGTGTGGATATGTACGTTAATGGCTGTCAATTCATCTCCTTCTCCTTTTGTTCCTTCTCTCTCTCTTTTTTTTTTCTCTTTTATCCGTGAAGCTGAAAGGAAAACTACATTGCCGTCCACACGCCCCTCTCCTCCCCCCTCCCCTCCACGTTTCCCTGAGAATCAAAAAGGCACACACGCGGCCAATCCAAACATATTCAAAAACACGTTATGAAAATAAATGTGGGAGGGACAAAAAAAAAAGAAAAAAGAAGAAAAAAAGAGGGGTTCTCCTGTTTTTTTTTTGTTTTATTTTTATTTTTATTTTTTATATTTAAAAATCCATCGTCATTTCATGCCTTTTTTTTTTTTCTATATTTCTCTCGCTTTCTCGTCTTCTCTTTTTCTCCTTCTCGTTTTTTTTTTTTTTTTTGTTATTGTTGTTTTTCTCCTTTTTCCTTTTTTTTTTTACGCCTGGTTTCTGTCTGGCATCTCTCTTGTCTCTTTTCCCTTGGTCTACTGTAATGTGCTGCTCCCTCCATTATCAATCCGGCACAATGAAGAAGAGAGTAGGAGAGAGAGAGAGAGAGAGAGCCACAGTCGCCACCTTCCTCATCGACAGCACCGGAGGCCCCTCCAAGCCTCACCTCAACCTCTTCATTGCCTTTATATATAAATATAGATGTAGATATGTATACGGGCCCCCGTGTGCATTGATGTCAGCTCTTTAGTTAATTCCTTTTTGTTGCTGTTATTTAGTTGGGTGCTTTTTCTTTCTTTTTTTCTTTCCCTGCCTGTCGTTGCTTGCTGTTTGTTTGCTTGTTTGTTTTTTTCGTTTTTTTTTTTTTGATTATGATTATTATTATTTTGACGCCCCTTTTCTATCCCTGTCACAGCACATACTACCCGCCGCTTGCCTTCGCCCGGGACACACCACGCCATGAAGGAACGCCTTCCAATTCTCCTCAAGAAAATATGCACTTGCGTGTGTTTCCGTGTGTGTGGCCCCTTTTTCTCCCTCACCCGCTTTTAGTAGCGACGGCGCGGTGGGCTGCGGCTGCGGCTGCGGTCGCGGTCGCGGTCGCGCTCGCGAGCAAATCTCTTCGGGCTACGGCTCCTGCTGTGGCTGTGACGGCGCCGATGCCGTTCGTACGAGTCTGAGCGGGATCGAGCACGGCGACGATCCTCGCGCCTGTCAACATCCCGCCGGTCGTTAAAATCCCGCCGGTCAACAAACTCCCGCCGATCGCCGTAGTCGCGCCGGTCGTTGTAGTCGCGCCGGTCGCCGTAGTCGCGTCTGTCGTTGTAGTCGCGCCGGACAAATTCACGTCGGTCGTTTTGGTTGCGGCGGTTGTCGCGTGGGCCGGAGCGGCAATCACGGGAAAGATGGCCATTGCGGCCGCAGTTGCGGCAATACGGCTCGACCGCACGGCACTGCAGCGCCACATGTCCTTCCCTGTCGCATTTGAAGCAGCGTTGACGCTGGCGCCGCTCCACATCGACGCGGGAGCCGTTCAGTTCCGTGCCATGCAGCCGGAGCGCTGCAACACATGTCTCCTCGTTGGGAAACCCAACAAACGCGAAGTGCTTCTTCTCGTGGATAAATATATCGACGGGTTCTCCAGCGGAGAGAAAGAAGGCGCGGAGGTCGTCCTCGTTTGTGTTTGGCGGCATTCCCTTCACCACTACTTTCGTCGGCAGCACATTCTCACGCGGACCAGTGCGTTTCTTCTCCACCTCAATGGCAACGCCATTCAGTTCCCGACCGGTCATCTGCAGGGCGGCCTCAAGAGAGTCGGTGTTGTCAAAGCCGACAAAGGCGTAGCGGCGCCGTGGCTCTAAAAAGAGATCGGCGATGGTTCCAAGCGGTTCAAACAACTCACGAAGCTGCTGCTCTGTTGTATTCTCTGCGATGTTTCGAACGGCAACCTTAAATTCCTCACGGAAACGCTTGCGGTTATCGCGCGGCGACGCGTCCCTACCGTCACCCCCTCTCTCTCCATCTGTCGCACCGTTTTTCTGGTTATCATCCATGTTGTTGTCTGAGCGTCCGTGATAAGAATCATTCTCGTGCCTCTTCTTCTCCACCTGAATGAATGCACCGTTTTCAAACTCCATGCCATCCATATTAAGTGCCTCATTGAAGTCTTCCTCGTTCTCAAACGATAGCGTTGCGGCGTTCCTCTCCAATGTGCAATGAGTCACATCGCCTACACGGCTAAAGAAGTCACGAACAGCGTCCTCTCTCGTGTCCTCCGGAAGACCACGCACCTGAATCGTGTACGACATCCTTTATATATATTATATTATATTATTTTATTTTATATATTCAAAATGTTGCCTGTCTCTTAGATTCAGTTCTACAGCTCGCTCTTCTTTTGTGCGTCAACGAAGCCCAGCAGCTGAGTTATCTTGTATGACCTGATTTCTGTTTACTACCCACTCCTTACAAATCCTCTCGGTAGCTTTTTACGTACCTGCCGTTTTTATGCTTCTTCTTCTTCTTCTTCCCTCTTTATCTTTGGGACCTTAATTCCCTTCTATTCCTCTTCCTTTTGTCCTTCACCTATAGACTGTCTGCCTCGCGTGCACGCCCTCAAAAGTTAGTGCTGTGTGACTAATTGCCTTCTTATTTTTATTTTTGTTGTTGTTGTTCTTGTTCTTCTTCTTCTTTTCGGCGGAGCGAGTGCTGCCGTTCCCCTCCAACGAACCGCTGCTTGTTTTAAGTAACGATCTGGTAGTTGCTTCATCATATCAGGAGGGAGTTCCAAGGCAAAAACCAAGTTGCAAGTGTAATTTGGCAAGTGTGTGTATGTAAGTATGCATGCATGTATGTGTGAGTGTTGTTGTTGTTGTTGTTGCGTTTTTGCATCCCCTTCTCACCCACCCCTTTGACGGCGAGCAGCAGACAAAAACGAAAAAACACATGGCGGCGTTCACGACCCACGTCTCCCTCCCTTTTTCCGTCACCCAAAAATTCACTCTAAATCCCACCCATTCACGTCATTCGCGACCCAGCCAAAGCGTGCCCTCTCAACCCTCCCCTCCCCTCCCCTCCCCCCTCTTTTTCCTCCTTTTCAAGTCTCTTTGGCCGGAAACTTACGTGTACGCAGGTACCTCGTGTGTATGTGCGTTTCTGTCCGTCTGTCTGTGCGTGCATACGTGCCCGTCTGCGTGTATATAATGCATGTATATATCTATATATTTATATGCGTACATGTATGCCTACGCCAAAGGTTCATGATGCCCACAGCACAAAGCAAAACCGCTGGAAGAAATACCAATAATGCCTGGCAGTCATCGCAAAACAAATATATAAGAATAATAATAATAATAATATGTAAAAGATATAAAAAAATCCGCGTTTTTCCTTTTTTTTTTTTTTCTTCTTGTTTTTGTTTATGGAGCGCACATCAGCCACCGTCATCGTCGCGGAAGCACTCAAAAACAAAATAAATTTTGCACAAACACTCAAGTAACAAATCCAAAAAAAAAAAAAAAAAAAAGAAGTTTAAAAGCAAAAAAACAACAACAACAAAAAAGTCCCCCCCACCCCCCCCCTACTGCGAGTACACACGCGCATCGTTACTTGCCTCCCTTCTACCATCCTACAAAGCAATAAAACGTGGATGGTTGGACGATGAATACAAACTTCAGGGCCTCACAGACACACACACACACACAAGCAAAAAAAAAACTGCTTATCCGTGCCCTCCCCGCATGCATATAAATATATATTTACTGCACATCGTTTTGTTTGTTTGTTTTATAGACACCCCCCCCCACCCACCCCCCCCCTTCAATCCGCCCTCCCCGTTAATTATTATGGGGGAAAGGACGGAAAAAAAAAAAAAAGCAAATATTTTTCCCCTCGCGGGATTGTCGTTATGAGCGCGGGGGAAAGTTTTTCACACCATAATGTCTGGGGGGGGGGGAGGGGGTCACGCGTGTTACTGTGCATCGTGTGGGCCATCCAAATTAGAAAACATAAAAATAATAAAAAAGAAAAAAAGAAAAAAAGAAAAAAAGAAAAACAGCACCACCAACACCAGCAACAATAAAATAATAAAAGAAAATCATTGATCCCTACAGTCAGCTTTACATTTGCATACAAAAATATGCAAATGTTTATTATACGTATATATATATATATATATGCCGAATACAGTCTCGCGCCGTTAAGACGATGAAACGCATACATCGGCCCAATTCAGAAAAATCATGCAATATTCTTCTCTACAGATGATATACACTCAAGATGGGGGTAACAATAAAAATAATAACAATAAATAAATGAGTTAGGATGAGGATTACTTCTTTTATTTTCGTTCATCCATACTTCTGTAGATACGTAATGTGCATATTTGCTGTCAATCGTATGTAAACATTAAAAAGCAAAGTGGTTCTTTCAATCGGAAGTAATTCCCCCTCTTAACACCACTAATACTAATTCCCACAAAACTCTTTACTATATTTTAACTATTCAGTAGTATCACTTTTTCCCCCAAATTTATTCTTTACTCTCATACACCCACTCATGCTACACGTTGTGATGGAGGTAGCTACGTAACGATGGACTATTCCCTGCACCGTCGACGCAAGGCCAAAATGAATGGCTTCTCAGCCCTTTCGTTAAAAAATAAATGACACCGCCACGGCCAGAAGCCACGCAGCCAATAGGCCACGTGAGAGCAAAAGTCCGGTGACGCAGTGAAAAGCTCCTCAAACACGCCGTGCTGACGGTGCAGTTCACGCTGTGAGTATCGCACCAACAAGTAGTCCAACCCGTCGCTTTTGTACACGCCGCGCTCCTCATCAAAGAGAGTGGGATCCTTGGTGTAACGCAGTTGTACCCCCCGCAGTTGCCTCCGATCGGCCCCGGACAGAAGTACACTCGCGGCATCACTGGCAGTTGAAGGTCCGCCCATGACTCCGTATAAATCCCCGTCGTGATACTCACGAAACCGCCCCAGTGGAGAAGTTATACCCTCCGACAAATGAAGAAGCGCCACGAACGGCAGGGCAAATATCGCAACAAGTCGATCTCTAAGCGAAGAGGGATATAACGGGAGGTACCCTATTCTCCCATCCACAAATTGCCCTGGGGGCTGTAGATGATGTGCCTTCTGAAACCGATTGATACCCGTCATGCCAGCGTAGGCGTCAATGAATACCGTGAGCGAAACAGTTTGGTCCGCACTCCCCACGCCCAGGCGATTGGCACATGAATTGTTGTCAAAAATATCCTTCTCAATGATTTGATGCAGTTTTTTTAACGCATCCGCACCGGGATAATTGTGAATGCTAAAATACACAGACATCACCACCGTCATAAGCTGCAGGAGAAATAAGCCCAAGAATACGGCCATCGTCACACGCTTCATTCGCTGCTCATAGTGAACGTGCTTACATTTCCGCTGTTTGCTTGCATTGCCCCGTTCCGGTTGTTGAAGCACAGTTTTTCCATTTCCATCCTTCACGTGTGCAGAGCCGTCCCCTTCCCTCGCGATCAACTCATTCCACGTCAAAGAAACAGCAGCGGCCACAGGCGCCAAAAAATTCGGAAAAGCCACCATAATAAATCGCAGCTCCTTGTGCGGCAGGAAACTATACAGAACCACAAAGAGAGCTGCCGGAAGCAACACGGCACGGTACCGGACACCCGTGTCCAACCACAGTGAAAACAACGCCCCACGAAAAGAAGAAGAAGGGGAATACGGTGAAAGTGAAAACAACGAAGCCGCTGGAGCTCGAGAGCAAAAGGCCACCATAAGATGGATTAGCCGCCGGCCCAAATCCCAGCATGCCAAACCCACCAACAGCAGTAGTGGCATGTACTCAAACAAAAAGGCTCGTGGCAGCGCATACGTGACGTACCAGTGCCATGGCAACCGCCCCCAGCGCCATGACTGATTCTCGACGGTGTTAAAAAACAGCACAGTGGCTTCAGGCCAAACCCAACGACCCCACAGGAAGCTGTCCAAAGCGACGCTGCAGCCAAAAGCAAGCACCAAAGAGAAAAAGCTAACCAACGCAGATCGCGCAAGAGTCACATCACGCTGTAAAAGCAGAAAAAGTCCGGATGACCCAAGCAACAAGATGGTATCACAGCGAAAAACCGCAGCGCTGACATTCAGTAACGCAAAAGAATGATAGTGCATCCCGCGCAACGTACACCCGCATGCCAAACTGCACAGAATGAGCGCGTACGTATTTGGAAGCGCCCTCGTCGCGTAGAACAGAAGATGAAACTGTAGGATGCACAAAAGAAAAAAAACAAAAGACGCAGAGCAACGCTTCCGCGTTGGTCTCGCAGTAGACTTCACAATTTTATTCTCAAACTCATCGATTCCAGTCGCAACGTACCACAAAGCGCCACACACCATTGACCCCAGAACAAGACGGCACGCGTGAGAGAAGAACATGGGACTTTTCGGCGCGGTCACCTCCAGGAAGAATGGATGCTCCACAATCCACTTTTTATTATCCATTATGTTGCTTAAAACCCCCGCATGAAGAAAAGTATATTTGACGACTGTACCGATGGGTTCCACCACGAGTGTAACAATCAACAACGTCAAGGCAACGACAATCCATGGGCCAACAAACGTTCGTGGGACCACTCCCGGAAATTCATGATGATCCCAACACTCCGGAGCTGGACAGAAAATAAAGTCATGCATTGCCTGCATGCCAAAGCTTTCCTCTACCTTTGTGTATGGGCACAGCACCTCACACACAACACAAGACGCAAATAAGACAACCAGGCCAAGCCGAGCGTAACCCTTCATGTCTTCCGCACAAAAATCTTCTACGTTTGCAGACAATAAACACACAACAACCAAAAAAAAAATTGAAAAAAAATTTTGAAAAAAAAAAAAAAAAGACAAAAAAAACTTCACTTGCGCCCCAATGCCAGCGCACTGTACTGCACTCGGTGGACGAGAGGTTCCTGCCAGGACCCAACACACACATACACAAATATATATATATATATATTGCCGTCAGAGAAAAGGCCTTCACAGCATCCGGCAGTGCGTCCTTCTCACTTTTTTCGGGTGCTGTTGTTTCTTCAGTTCCTCCTTTCGTCCAATGCGCCAAAAGACAAAAAACACCGCAAAAAAAGCAAAAAAAAAACGTTCGGTAGCACCCGCACCATCGGCCTTCACGGCGCCGCGTGAAGGGCAGGAGCCAAACCTCACATCGCTCCAGGCACAACGTGCCCCGCCAGCGCATCCGTCACGGCAGGCCGCCTTGTTCGCTACTGTGCACCGTCCCGCGTCCAGTACACCTGGCCCTCCATCCCTCCCTCGTCCATCTGGTGCCCACGCTCAATCTCGGGGAGTCGGTAGTTCATGAACACCACCTGCATCTCGTCCAGCGTCATGTCCTTCACCCAGCCCCTGGCGTTGAGGTACCGCCGCGCCATCTCGCGCTGCCTGAGGTCCCTGTGGTACGGGCTCTTCGGGTGGCTCGCCTGCCACAGGGCGTGGAAGAGACCGGGCTCCTTCAGCCCCTCCTCAATCTGCGCCTCGCTAAGCGGGGCAAAATTCGGGCGGTGCAGCCGCTCGATCAGCGGTGCCTCCTCCAGCTCCCGCTGCCGCAACGCCTCGTACTGCTCCATGTGCATCGCACGGTACCTCTCGCTCTCCTCCGCGTACTGCTTCTCCGTCACGCCCTTCACGGGAGAGCTGTGCGGCGTGTCGACGCCGACAAAACACACGCCCATGCGGCGCGCCTGCCCCACCACTCGACGCACGCGCGTCTCAATGAGTGGGTACTCCGGCCTTCCCCAACTCCTCGGCTTCATCTTCGCTATCTCGTACGCCATCTCCAGCGTCATTAGGGCGCAGTAGTGTCCGCGAATCGGCACCGGGCCGGTCTCACGGCGCTTCTTCCGCAGGGCCCGCAGAATAAACCAAGCCGTGGGCGGCGGCTCGATGGTGTACAGGTACGACTTGTCAAAGTACACCTGAATGCGTACGATGAGCTCCACGTCGTCCTTGAAGTGCGGCTTCGTGCGATCGTTAAAGGACTTTGCAAAATCCATGGCCTTCAGGCCGAGCTTCGAGAACTCCTGCCCCACCGGCGGGCCAGTGGCCGCCTTCCCCGCCTTGATGAAGAAGCGCCAGTTGTGCAGCACCCGCTTCCCAGGGAACTCCGGCACCGCGAAGATGTCCTTTGCCTTCGCCATCACAGCGGCATCCGGCATGCGGTTCGAGCCCGGCTCAACGTTAACGGTCTTCGGCCGGGCCCTCAACAGCGAGACCGTGCCTCGGCGGAGCATCTGCTTGCCTGTCCACACAACAGCTCCTTCTCCCCCTCCTGCTTACTGCTTACTGCCCGCACACCAAAGGAATAGGCGTGAAATAGGAGAAAGGCATAAACACACACACACAAATGCATGCATGCATCATGCACAGACGCCCACAACAAAACACGGAGAGGAAGAGACCACTGCCCCAGCCCCAAACACACATACACACACACACACAGAAAAAGAAAAAAAAAAGAGTTCAACACGCACACACGCACCAACCTAAACCGCTTTTCCCACCTGCAGCATGCAGCACAGCGTGTCGCGTGTCTTCTCGCACGGGCCGCCCGACACCTCGCGCCCAATGTGCCGCAGCTCGTCCTCCCGAACACGCTGCAGTCGCGCCTCCAGGTCCGCAACGGTCACGCCAAGGCCCACCGCAAGCTTCTCCATGCCACCGGACTCGCCATAAAACGTCCGCCGCTGATGAACGTGTCGTGCCGCCAGGTAGTCAAGCAGCCAGCGCTCCAGGTGCTCCACGTCCCTCCCAGTCCCGCCGCCAACCGCTCCCAACGCCTCGCGAAAGGCCTCCCCATACGCGCACCGACCGCAGTGACGGGCGACCCTCTCAAGCATCGCACGCACTCCGCCCTCCTCCTCTTGCTCGCCGGCGCCCGCCGGTCCCGTCGCCCACCGCTGCAACGCCCACGTCGCGTTCACAGCATCGTTCTGCACAAGGTACGCCGTCACAAGGGCACGGAAGAAGTGCGGCGAAGAACACTGTCCTGCACTGGGCGATCCGCACTCAAGCTCCTCCGCCAGGCGCAGAACCGCGTCCGCCCTTCGCTCATAGGCAGACGCAAGGCACGACTCCACTCCTGCACCATGCATTCGGCTAAAGCAACAAGCACCTACCTCCCTATAACCCCCTAGCAAGCAGAGTAATGAGTGGTGGATGAGCAACAATCAGAGCAGAAAACACATCCGTGCGAAACGCGGCGACTCCCATCAAACCAACAAGGGTGCCCCACATGCACACACTGAAAATAATATAATATTGTGTTCCCCCAACCAGAAGATAACAATGACCCATTGGGCACAGCAAGCCACACATCGGCTCAGATCAGCCCAGCCCCAGAAAGATGCTTCTTCACGAGCTGCCACCCACCAATGTTTCATGTGGTGGCAGAACGTACGGAAGACGGTCCGGCAGAATGTGGCTGGCCTTCACAGACTTCTCAATGGCACACCACAGCGCCTCAAACACAACGCGGCCGCCGTTCTCGTTGAAGTGGAGACCATCAGAAAAATACTCACACCATGAGCCCTCGGCGTACGGCACCGTGTCAGCACTCCTGCCCAGAAAGACGCGGTACAGGTCGACCGTAAAAACATCCCCGTGCTCCTCATACTCCTCGGCCCCAACCCGCAGAGAAGCATCGCGATAGCGTCGCATGGATTCGAAGCTGCGGCCACAAGAATTGGGGTCACAACCAACGTCACGCAGCCACTGAAGTCGTCCCTTCTCGTCCAGCGGTGAGGGCGAAAGGAGGAATATACCACCAACGGGACATACGTGCTTGCGCACAGTGTCAATGATTGCCCTCAGGTTCGCACCGTATTCATCCAGTGAGACCTGCTGAGGAAATCCAGCGCAATCGTTGGACCCAAGCATCAGAGTCACGAACAGCGCCTTACCAGGTTGTGTGGGAAGAAGCTGCTGACGCCTCGTATCATCCTTCAGTATATCCAGCACCCAGCGCGTGTTGTAACCGCTTAGCCCACGATTGATAACATCCGCGCGGCGCACGTAACGCTTGCTGAGGCGTGACGCCCAGCCGGACTCGTAACCTTGCTGTGTCAGGGAGTCGCCCAGAAGAAGAGCGTACTGCATTTCTTTCTTTTTCATTTTCGCTGCCTTCTCTTTGGGTATGTCCACCAACTTCTCCCACCCTTGCCAATTGAAAGAGAGGAAGAAGTACAGGAAATAGGAACGACAGAAAAAATAGCAGTTAAAAGCGGATGCAGCTTCCAGATCGCCGTAGCATCAATGCCCTCATGCTCCCCCCCCAAAAAAAAAGGTCAAAAAGGACAAGAATTGACATGAATGTCCATCCCCATCGCCATCGGCATTTTAGCACCAAAATGGAGGTGGCGGCGTCTCCTGCACGGTGGACCAGTTGCTGCTTGCGCATGCCGCTTCCTCTGTAACGTAACCTGAAGTGGTATTCACGCCCCTTCCGTGCCTCTCATAGCAGCAAAGTATAAGAAGAAAAAAGAAAGAGACGCTTCTTTATGCTTTGCGATGTAGGCGCATGCATCTCATGACAATCCCATTTGATAGCCGCCCCCTTGTGACCGCAATCCGGCTGCCTTTCCACGCTTCTCAAATAGAACTGACTTCCTTAACCCTAAAACTTGCAGAAATACACACAATGAAAGAGAAAAGAAACAAAAAAAAATAATGATAATAATAAATAAAAGAAAAAAGAGGCAGCAACAAAAACAACCACAAAGTGTCCACAAAAACGCACAGTTGCACAAAAAAGTGCGTGTAAATGTATGTGTCTACGTGTGTTTGTGTAGGAAAGTACGAAAGAAAGTGCGCGACAAAAAATAAAAATAAAATAAAAATAAAAATAAATAAATAAACGGTTAAAAAGGGCACCTCACATCCACAGAAAGGCATAAACAAAAATAAAAATAACTTTTCTTCGCGATTCCTTTTCGTTCCATCCCTCCCCCTCCCGTCTCTCTCTCTCTCTCCCTTGTACTTTCACCCCTCTCCCCGGTGTTGTACAGACACACCGTTAGTGCCCAATAAATAATATTACTAGTCGTCGTAGTGGTGGTGTTAAAAACAAACATTACAAAAAAAAAAAAATGGGGACGGTAATTCCTCCAAAAAACAAAAAAAGAAATTCCCCTGCAAGACGCTCGCCATATATGTATATATGTGTATATATATGTATTCATCTTTTTTTGAATCAATCGATGTTTGTTCCTATCCATTTTCTCTACCGCCCTATTAACAACCAACTCAAAAATGTTCCACTTTCAAATAATGCACATAGAAACGATAGGACAAGCAACGCTGCCAAAAGTCGAAAAGATACTCTAAAACACAGGCAGTCCTTCCAAACTTTTTGCTTCCGCTGCGCTAGTGCAGGCGTGGGATGTGCAATTACGGCTGCTGGACGCGAGTTAATTGTAATACCCCCGCCAGCGCCGCTGTTGTGGAGAACCGTTGGGGGAACTAAATTATTCTTGGCTCGCGGTGAAGACACAACGCCCCCGGATTCCGTGGAGGGAGACTTCATATCTCGATTCCTGGCGGATCCAGCCACCGATAAACGCGGCGGGGCGACGGGTGGGGATTTTCTTTGTGTGTCTGTCTTAACTGTGTGGAAACGCGATTTTGGGACCGCGGGTGGTGACGGTGTAGAGACAGCATCACTCCCTGAAGGGGTAACCACTTGTGGGCTCTCCAGCAGCTTGGTCCCGTACCCACCCATCCGCATGACAAGACTCTCTGGGACGCCCTTGTCTCCGTACACGCAGCTCAATTGACGACGTACAACCTGTACATTTCCTGGTTTTATTTGCCCCAGCGTCTTCCAGAAGGCGGCGGCCTGTTCTACATACATCCTAGAGGAGCTGCGTCCAATATTTTTCCCATTCCCGTTTTCATTTAAGCTCTCCATGTACGTCTTTGCCTGATCTTTGGGAAGGACGGCAATATCCACAAACATATTGTCCTGCGTTTTTGCATTGGGCAAAACCAAAGCAGCTTCAGCGCCTCCTTGTCGTCGTAGTTGTGGGAGATCAAGAAGAAATTTAATTTTAACACTTTCCGTGGGAAATATAAAGCCGACTGAAGGCTTCACGCCGTAGCGATTGCGTACTGTACAAAGAACCTTAAAAACTATAATGTTCTCCGTCTTTTCTTCCGTACACTCAAGCAAATTCTTCACCTGAACAATATTCTCAATGATGATATCCTTTGGGGGGAGAGGAAAATACAGGGATTCCTGCGAGAACTGCACCAACGGTACCAAAGAAGCTGTCATTTTGAGGTCTAATATGTTTTTTGTAATTTTTTTTAATTTCCACCCACCCCCTTGTGGGCTGTAGGCAGTTTTAAGGGGAAAAAAAGAAAAAATTCCCCCTTTCGCCCCTTTTGCCTCCTCTCTCTCTCTCTCTCTGCCAGCCCTCTCCTCTCCCAACTTGTGGTGGCGACGGGGGATCTCCGCTTACTTTACAAGAAGACACACACAAACAAAAAAAAGAAAAAAAAAAGGCAACGGCGCAGGTGGTCGCAGGTGGGAGGAAAGAAGGAAAAATAAAAAAAAAGACCGTCGCGTTGCATACAAGAGGCACGTGCAGCCAACGCCA